GGCAAATTGCTTTTCTTGTCAGTTTACAGGTAAACTTGAATTCTATATTTGATTTAAAAATAAATTTTTGCTTTGAAAACTTTCTAAAAATTGCGACCGCTAAAGGCCTCAAACCAGCATTATTCATAAAACCACTCTGTTTGACATTTTACAGCAATGCAAATCAGTCGCCAGAGTCCAACTGTGGTACTTTTTTCGTCCGATATGAAACGTTCTACAGACACCTAACAGCTGTTAGTTCCGATGAATTGGAAACCTGTTATCAGGAAGGTGTCTGGAGCAGCTGAGTACTGTCCAAAACAAGAAACAGTTAATAGGACAACTCCTCGACAAAACTTACTAATATGGCTTCTTTGGTATAGATCGACTGTTTCAAGCTGCAGTTCCTCCATTTCTTGACAGTCTTTACAGCCAGTTAGGCTAAAATTTATAAATGATGGCAGGAAGTCCATTATGAATTGAAAAGCAAAAACACAGTAGTCGACTTAGATTCATACGACAGAACCAATCACACCATTCAATTACGGGTACAAGATTTGGCAGCTTTAAGGCGTTTTGCGGGAAAGTGGCCCTGGTAAAAATGATTTTTCTGTTTCAAGAATTCATTGTCCGTTTAACAGAGCTGCTGACTTCAATGCGTATGCAGTAGTAAGATCTGATATGAAGCTTTAAGAGTCCATAACTGGTTCGATATCCAATTCTGAGCTCTGGGCTGGAAACTGCTGGCCCGTAGCTACGAGCTGTTCCATTTGGGTATTTTCGCTCCAAAAATTTCATTTTTTTTTTTTTGACAAAAGTTTTTTTTTATGTCTGAAGTTTATAGTTTCCGTGCACTTATTTAATACACTTATTTAATCTAAAATCTAAAATCTAAAATATTTAATCTAAAATTAATCAGAAAACTCCGGGAACCCTTAGTGCACTTCTACATACTTTCTCAAAAAATCCAAAAAAAAAAATTTTTTTTTCTTCATTATGCCCTTGCAAACAGCAGGTTTTAATAGAAACTTGACATTTTGCTTATGTGATTTTTGCGTAAATGTAATCTGGAGTCTCTGGGTTGGGGTTACAAGTCAGAAATGTTCAGGTCCAGCGAAGTAAAACTTATGTTATCTGAAGCAGGAAGACAGCTGGTGTGTTGTTCTTAAAAATTAGTGTGAGCCCGAACCTTGGAAGAACCTGCAAAACGTGTATCTTTATTTCACTGTACCCTTATAGAGACGACAACTGTACAAAGTTATTCATGCCTTTTCGCTTTTTCCGTTTCCTTACTAAAAATTTATACTACGATAACTGTTATCAGGCTCAGCTATCCACTTCAAGTGGTCACCAATACACTTATTTAATCTAAAAACTAGGAGTGTGACTTGAAGTAATTTGGCATTTCTACATGCTACAAACTACTAAAAAGTTCTACTGGGTCTCCACTATTAACTCACATTTCTGCGCTGCATAATCCTTATCTCAACTTCGTAAGATGATTACGTGTTCATTTTGTCTCCAGAATGTTTGTTGCCGCTGAACGTTCCTACAAAAGCACTAAAAGAGTGATAAAAACTCGATGCCAACTGACACTGCACAGGCAGATCATGCTAGCGAGAAAAAATTACTGCCACACTTAATGTATTTCAAACGCTCTAACCAGCTTTCATGTTCCTTCGTACCAGATCAGCTTTTATCAACCAGGCACCGTTGTCCAATTGGCTGTTCAACGCGTTTCTTTTTTTTGGTGTTGTTCTGCATTCCAATATATGCGGATTTAGGCAGTCTCCCGTAACTGCTTATGATAATTGCTTTACTTTTATGAACCTCGTTATCACTCTCATCCCCTACCCTTTAATCTATATCTCTCTGTCTTATAAGCAAATTCACCGTCAGGGACATTAATATGGATGAATTATCGACCTTCCAAGTCAAATACTGGTTACTGCCTCTATCGCTCCAGTATTAATTCGGTGGTATCAAGCAGGCAATGGAAATCAAACTGACATTGTAGCAGCAAAGAAATACTAATTAATACCTCAGTTGGAAGGTAGATACTGCGGCAATATCAATATATTTTATTTTAAGTCCGCTTATAAGGCATAAAGGTAATAATCAAGAGGTCTACTATTAAAATGAAAGAACCCCGATATTCACCTTAGAACGGCTGAGCTGAAGTGGACCAAATTTGCGGATATATGAGCAGTGAGGAAAAAAGAAGGAAGCAAATTCCCCAGTCAACTGGAAAGCACCGCATGACTATTATAAGCCAAACAGATACGAAAAAGCCATGAGATTTTTTATTGCCCTTGATTCAGCTGCAGTAGATCTACATAGTTCGAGAAGCATAAGACAAATCAGAAAACGGCAAAGGGAACGGAAAAGACCAATGGTAGAGTTTTTCAGAACAAACTTGTCCCACCTTTTCGCCTTGCGCAATGTTCAAGATTTTTAACCGCTGTAATTAGCTACTTTTAAGCGTCTTCTTCCAAAATGTCAATTTCTACACAGCAGAACCTCTTAGTTGTTGTTCGGAGATGAAGTACAACATCACGACCCGGTAACTAAACAATCACCAAAGTTTCTGCTGAACGGATAATTGGTTATGGCACACGCTTCAGCTGCTGAAAGACAAGTTGACAGATCCCAACCTTTGTTAAAGATGTAATTTTCATATAAGTTACAAGAAAATCTAAAAATCTTACTTCCTTTTCAAAGAACGAGGGACTGGTGACCTCAAGCGGTTGCAGCCGCTGAACATTGTTTAGCTCACAAAATACTTACAAGTTTTCTTCATTTCCTCAACTAAATCTAATGCCTGGACAATTTCTTAAGAGGCAACTCCAGTCAAAACATGTTCATCTCAGCCAGCGTTTTCCTTTTGAGACCTGGTGCTCTCCGGCGCAGTCACCAACATAATCTTCAACTTTTCTCCTTGATCTCATTGAGCAGTTTGTCGTTGTAAAACACCACCTCCTATCGCTTCAAATACAAAGTCATGGTGCTAATTTAAGAATACTTTCGTTGCCGATAAACCAGGTGACCGAAGAAAGGGAAAGTGGCACACAATTCAGCTTTTCAATCAACATATTTCACTACCTGTGGCTTCCAGTATATACAGAACCAATTCGGAAGTAATTTTTAGGATATGAAAATAAAATCTGGTGACAAAAAAACTATTTCTTAAAACAACTGAGAACAGTGTTCCCCAGTCAAACTTTTCCTCAAGACTTTCTGACGATGACTGCGAGACAACTAGAAATATTCTACCAGATTTTACTAAAACAAAAAAAAAAATAATTCTTATTCCAAATAAAAATCTTCACCACTTTTTTACTTAAAAAAAACTATTTCTAATTTTTCTGGCTATTTCTACACAAGAATACGCAACAAGCAATGTCACATTATAAAGAGAATTGGTTTCCAAAGCTATAATCTATGACAAAAGGCATCATGTAGTAAGGCAGATTTAAATAAAGCACCATCAAAATTTACTGGAGAGATTTAGAGAACTTTATTGCAAAAAACTGTGCATTTGAATTGAAAGATGAAAGCGTTATTCGAGTCAACAACAAAATAACTTTTCTTCATGACTCGAAATCAGCAAGGGGTACCCTTTACTCAAACCCAAATTTAATCGTCTTAACTTTTGAACAAATAATTTTTTTTTTTTTTTTTGAAACTCTTGCTTCCTGCAGTCAAAATCGAGTGGTCGAAAGATAACGAATTTTTCGCAGTTCAATAAAAAAAATCTATTTTGACCTGTTAATTAAAGCAGAAGACTGGTTGACTCGAGAAATATACATTTTTGCAAGCATAGTAAACTATTACACCAAAAAGTGTTTAGATATACGTTTCAGCAGTTTGGAGCCTACTGGTTCAATGCAATCATAATTTTTAGATGATCACACTCTAATGGAACAGCCTTGTTGCTTACTCTTGTCTAATCTTGTTAAATAATGTTTTTACCTTCGCCCCATACCATTAAAGTACCATTATAAAAAACTGAATTTCCACAAGATTTTCATCTAACGGTTCCCCAGCAGCAAGTCAAAGCTAGAAAATGAAACATACATTTAGAACTGTCTTTTCACAAGAAGGATATTCCAAAATAACTAGCCACTTCACCTACAAACTTTGTAGTTTGTAGTTCTGCCACTTTTTTCGATCATCCATGGTCAGCTTAGAGATGTCTTTCCAACAAAATCTTTTTCTGCGCCTATTGAAAAGTTATTCATCTACTACACGAGTAGAAGACGATCCGACATCTGAAAAGGGAACTCTTTTTATCCAATTGAGGAGGCAGATAGCGTGATGATAACACGAAAAAATTTATGTTGAAGCAAAAAATCCAAAGTACAATAGCTGTAAAGCAATCGCATCTGCGAAATATATCTGAATCATTTAAAAATCCTACACACAATATATGAAACGAAACTATGTCCATAAAAGCAAAAAAAATATAGCTTTGGGATGATCACTAAAAAAATAAAAATAAAAATTGCCATCTTCTCTGCGTCATTCAAACCTTACCTTTAATTTCTATTCCCAAGTGAAAAATTTCGTTAACTTCAACATGTTATCAGAAAAGTGATACCTCACGGACAACTGAGATCAAAAGTATAATAGACCGGTAGTCTGTTGTATACAATAGCACAACATTAACATCACTTGAAACATCAACACGGCCATTTTTGAATTCTAGCGATATTAGGCTGCGCATGTAAATTAGAAAATTTTTGCATAGACCGGCACTTTATTTTTCGGTCTTGAAACGATTATTTAGATACGATATGATTCTTTGTTGCTGTACATAGTAGCGCAACGTTTGAATGACGAGTGACCAGGTTTTACGTTCTATATTTGTTGGATTTCTAGATTATGCTTAAGTCATAGCCGGTTTCTAGCTACAAAATTGGCATTTATTTTAGTTGTCTCCACTTAAATATTTATCTTATGTCAGATAAGTTTTACTGACCAAACATGTAATTGTTTTGTTCCATCTGCGTAAATTGCTAACTTCATTTACAAATATTCTTTATCGTAAGCTCTGATTACACTTTTTTGAGGCTTTTTCTTGTTCTAATTATTCTTTAATTTTAACCAGGCCAACAGTTATGACACCTCCTGCTGGTGTTTCAAATATACAGCTGACACCATCTACGACAACTACTGCTGAGGAGCAAAGCTTGAAACGATATTATAAAACTAAAATTGACGACGCTCAGGTTCAATTTTTGTCTCTTTTCTGTCCATTGTTTTGGCAGTGTTGATTTTTGATTATTCTGTCTTCAATGTCAGAGAGAGTTCTTCATAAGAAAATTGTTATCTTTTTTTTTACATTGCAGCAGCGAGTAGCAGAGAAGACGCAAAACTTACGAAGGTTACAAGCTCAACGAAATGAACTGAATTCAAAGGTAAGAGTATGTGGAAGCTTTGGGTGTAGTTCATTTGCTATTATTTATTACAGCGCTTCATCCTTGGTCAAGTTCAGTAACAGCATAGTTAAAAGTATACTTCCTGCTGTAGCTTTAACAGATTTTCAGGTAAGAATGTTGAAGGAGGAGTTACAACAGTTGCATGAGCAAGGTTCATATGTTGGTGAGGTTTCTAAAGCAATGGATAAGAAGAAGGTTCTTGTAAAGGTTTGTTTTTTTCGGATATTTATTACCAAATATTCTCTTTTCCAAGGCCTTTCTGATTTGTGATTAACGGTGAATTTGTTTTTTTGTAGAACATCATTCTATTCAGGTTCACCCGGAAGGAAAGTATGTCGTTGACGTAGATAAAAGCATTGATATAAATAATGTAAATGCTGGTTGCCGTGTTGCCCTACGAGCAGACAGTTATACCTTACACAAAATTCTCCCAAATAAGGTTGTCTTGAAATTTTTATTAAGAGTAATACTTTAAACTGCGTAAAATATTCATAACTGGACGCGGTGCTATCGGCTATGACTACTTGGACATAATCGCCTAGCATACTTCGTTCCAAGAGCACAACTGAGAGTGCATTATAGGTGCTTAAAATATTAACAGGTCAAGTCTTAAGTGTTAATGTTCACTCGACAACACCATTCAAGGCATTTTTTATCTTTTTTTATTAAATATTTTGTCTGGTTTATGTACATTGAGGTTTTTGAGGGAGTAAGGGAATGTTGATTGTGTGTATGCACATTATGTGTACAGCTCCGAAAAATTTTCGAAGACTCGTCATTATTTTTAATTCACTTTCGCAGGTGGATCCGCTAGTTTCATTGATGATGGTAGAAAAAGTGCCGGATTCTACTTACGAGATGATTGGAGGTTTAGATAAACAGATAAAAGAAATAAAGGAGGTGATCGAACTACCGGTAAAACATCCAGAACTTTTTGAGGCCCTTGGAATCGCACAGCCAAAGGCTAGTTTCTAGACGATTGTTGCCCACTGGTCAATATTTAAATTTTTTGACTTCTTTCAGTAGTTGGTTCATTTTACGCCTTTTTTTTT